AATACTTTTTATTTGTGCATCAAATGCTAAGTAGGGACCACAGTGCAAACATTTCTTTAAGGAAAGAAAGACTGTAGCTTGACTGGTTACAGCAGCATTACCCCAACACATTATCGGGACTAGATCCAGAGCATTTGGGGACCCAAGTGACAGCTCAATGCATCCATACTATCTCCTGGACACTCACTTCTGTTCAGCTAGGAGTACCAAATGGCAATAAACTATTTTGTGGCTGCTTGCTATCTGCAGGCAAGGCTGGACATGTGGCCCCTGAGTGAAGTCTGACCATGACTTAGTAAGGGAAATCCTCAAGTGCCTGGGGGAGCAAGTCCATGCTTGCTGTCCCATTCCTTGGATTTACCCCAGTGCTTCAAACTGCCCATTCCTGAAAGCTGTGATATGAAAAAACTATAAAATCAAAATGAAACAAAACATGTGTATATATTCATTATAGTCCCCAAAGGAACCCCTCCAAGCATTAAATAAACTAAAGAATAGGCCTTTAGTCCTGTATTATAGAAGATGTGTACACCTGGAACACATGGAGGGAGGGAAACGAGCAAGGGGAAGACTGCTTGCAATGGGAGATGCTGCTTCTTACATGCTGAGCAGGTGGACCTGTGTGATGCCTGCTCCCTTGCATTCTGCCTGTCCTAGTACTGCCCTCTCCCAGCGGGCCAACAGGCAGTCAGCAGGAAGGACGCCATAGTGGCAGGCCTCTCAGCATCTTCAGCACCATGATCGGAAACATGGAGCTGTCATGTGGCTGGGACCCAACAGTGTAGCTCCCTGCTGGTCTGAGCCCACCACTCTGGGTACAACCAGATGTCCCAGGTATTTGTGGGTCCCATATTTAATTTGAGCTTTTGTGGACTGCCCACTTGCTGTCAACAGATGTTTGTCCAAACCAATATTGGTGTTTTTAAAGATGCCATGCTATTAGAGAGTATGGTATTTGCGGAAACCAAAAATAATTTCTGCTACAGATGTAGCCTATTTAAAACATTCACAGAAAATTTGCTTTCAAAGCATGTGTCCCACATTGTGTTTTCCCTTTGCTGAGGTGATATAAGGAATAATTTTCCAGGGTCATTGTAAATATACATTCTAAACTGATATGTGGGGCTTAATATACTGTGCATTACCTTACTCCAGTAGTTTTCCAATTTAAATTAACTTATGACCAGTCACCACATTTGTTCAGGCCCTGATTACAAATCCATAAAGAAGAAGATTTAAATGGTCTCTTCTTTCTTCATTGATTTTAATTTTAATTTTAATTTATTTAATGCAGCACAAACCTACAGATTTTTAAACAGTGTGATGAGTTCATTGAATGAAAGTATATGGCTAATGGATAGCCTATCCCTGTTCCTGCATTTGAAGATAGCAATCATTAATGGCATTGTTCCTAAAATAAATAGAACTGTATGGGAACTGACTAAAAAAAAATAAAGTAATATATTATACATTTTTTGTACAAAGCTATTGCAGCTAATGCCTGAAATGCTCATATGATAAAGCAGAAATCTTATTATCCGTTTACTTATTTAGAACTGTTGTGTTTCTGCTGAAATGATTGATGGGCAGTGGGAATCAGATTACAATTGAATGCCATGGAACAGATATACTAGTCAGTATGTCAAACTCAGCTTCTGCATGAGAGTCAATTATACTGTGAATGTAATACACAATAAATTGTACAAAGTATATTATATGCAGTATATATTGCATCTGTTGATGGCATCTGTTATGTCCTGGTATATCCAGTTGTCTAGTGAGGAACCCAAGCTTTTCACAAGTCCAGTATGTGGAAAAACCACTCCCAAGGGTGAAAATATGATGTCTGATTCTGCTCTTGAAGCTTTCTATATATAGAGAATCAGAATCTACAATCCCAGTACCTCACCATCCATGCTAGGTCTCACAGAAGGCATATCTGGAGATTTCTATGCCACACTTGAGAGGAAAGAATTTAGCGAGTGGGTTGCTTCTTTGAATTCTTGGCATTTTGTCAAGTAGATCAGCCATTCTCAATGGGGGCCATATGACCCCTGCAATGTCCTTGCATATTTGAAAGGGGCTATAGACTGGAAACAATTCTCCACATGCCACCTTATAAGGTTCATTATGTGATTTATGCAATCCTGATTCAGCCTATATTTCTTTCATATTGTCTTTATGACCATGGCCAAAAACAATGTTGAAAATGACTGAACTAGATGATGGCACTTGGGCATTCAGAAGGCCTGCTTTGCATTTTAGATGCTTGGGTCAGTTCAAGGAAGAAGTATGTGTTACATGGTACTCAGGCCTGCCCCAGAAAATTTCATTTCCTTGTTTTCTTATCCTCCTTTCTCTTGTATCATGTGGTCAATGTGAGGACAATATACATGTACCTGTCTTGCTGTCTGACAGAGTTAGCGGAATTTCAAGGATTACCCCAGGTGGTGAAAACCAGCAGAGCTTCCCAGAGTGAAGTGAAGACACAGGCAGCAAACAGTCTTGATAGTAGAATATATATATTATATACAGGATATGTACAGGTATATACACAGCGTAGTCTTTGTCCAGTTCCAATAGTCACACACAGCAATATCCTCAGAGTTACAGAGCTTAAATCAATGTCAGAGTCCAGTAAATAGTCAAGGTCAATATACCATGCAGTTAGTCCGGTTCACCAGAGTTCCTCTTCTCCCAAGCTCATAGATACGGCTTCCACAGGATTCTCCAGCTCAACAACAGCACTCCACGACCATATCAACAGCAACAACAACCCACACTGGTGTATGCTAGGTCTCCAGCTATATACCAGAGATAGCCAATCCTGATATATTCATCCTGCTGTTACAATCTTACTCAGCTGTATTAACTCATACTTAGCTCTACTTTACAGCAGTGATCCTTACAGATACTTATGTCTTGTTGCTAAACTGCATTTAACATTTTCCAGATTTGACCAAACCCTGTCACTGTCCTGCATCAGTGGCTGTCAGAGCATCATATGCATAACACTGTGACATCATGACAATAAGCCACCTAGAGTGGTCCGGTGGGCCAGATAGGCGGGGTATAAATTAAATAAATAAATAAATAAATAAATTAAGTGCTCACACTTTAGAAGTAACATCTCAGATTCTGGGAAGATCCTGGTCTTAGAAAGTATAAATG